AGTCCTTACAGGCACCCTTGCCGGTATAATGTACACAGTACCATATTATATTCAGTGTACACAATAATTAATAAATAATTTGATAGTTCATGAGCAACAATAGACATGAACAATGATAGAATAGTTATTTCTCAATAAAGTGCATTTAATTTAAACACATTTACATAAATTCTTCATAAATAATCATGACAAATCTTCAACATTCACCAAATCACATGGATTCAGAAGCCAGCATTAGCATTTAAAAGCTAGGTGTTCCGTAGCCAGTCCATATAAATGCATTGATACATGTTAATGCCAGCACTACAACAAACAGACAGACTCACCAATTGTGGAATACATCCGAAGCACTGCGCGACCAACTTATCCCTCCCCGACACTGGCTGATGTCTAACAGGTTGAATAATGTGATTGGACAGCGGCGGCAACCCAGGTACGTGCACGACGATGCAACGGTACTTGACCGTAAGTTACACTCGTACGAGAACCTGACGGAATTATTTATTTCACTAATAATAATGATATTCATTATTCAGACACAGGGAGAACATGCAAACTCCACACAAAAATGCCCTGACCCGGATCGGAACCCAGGACCTTCTTGCTGTGAGGCAACAGTGCTAACCACTACACCACTGTGCTGCCCCTATTATTATTACCATTTTATTTAATTATATTCATGAAGAACATGAAATAACAGACTTAAATAACAGATTTCCGCCCCAGTTACATGTGTCATGAATTTCAAAAGTTTGTCCACAGCTCCAGAAGCTTTGCTGGCGGAGGTGGGATTTATGACCTTTACTGCAGCCCATCAACAGAGGGTGCTGTTCTCGGAGTGGCTTCACCCAGCAAGCAGGCAGACGCTGTCCATTCTTTATACAGTCTATGATCTGAACACTCCTCAAGGTTTCTCCTGTTTAGTCATGTTGGCTCTGTCATGATGTGGAGATGATGTGGGTGTTTCCTTACCTTCAGGAAATGTACTAACATCTTGGGCTCTATTTTCGTGTACGCCGGTGAGGTGTCGGAAGGTGGCCGACCCCGTGCAGTTGTATTTTCGTCTGGCGGAGCCCGGCGTACAGCCAGTTTGGTATTTTCATGGACTGAGGCGCACAGAGGCGAACCGAGATCCACCAAGCTGGGCTTGGTGGCGTGGCAGGGGGAGGTGTCGACAGAATCAGCGGGCGCAGTGACATTTTCGTGCTCGCCAGTGGCGTGTAAAGTGCGCTGAAAGCTCACCAATTCAAACCTGTTTAGCTTTCAGTGCAGGCGGAGCGCAGCTGGTCTGGAGGTATTTTGGTAGACCGGCGGCATATAGGCATACGTTACAGATGCCTCACCGGCAGGTTTCTACAGTGTCAGGCACAGTGCAATAAATAATCATCAACAACTATTAATCTGAGTCAGCAAATACATTTAGATCTATATAGATATATTCTGATCTATATCTGATCTGATGAGCGCATTTGGCACACGTTTGGACACACAACCTGACCGAATCAACACAGCCGAAACAGCATTAAATTAAATTAAATATCTTAGTAAATAAACACACATGATGAAGTTAACAAGATATTTAATTTGTCTCCCTCCTTTTCTTTCTTCCTTTTCCTCTTATTTCTTGCGCAGCTCGACCTGGACATGTCTCCGTGTCCTCTCTCCGTCCTGCTGCAGCTGCGGCTGAACAGTCGATTTGTTTCAGTGCTCAGATGAGTTACTTACTTTAAGCCTGCATATGGATATTATAATATTCAGTTTTGTGAGCCAAATTTATTTTATATGCCAACATCTATGAAAGAAAGAGCCAGGCCACAGAGCGCGATGCGTCATTTACGCACAGATGGTTCAGATTTTAATGCCATTTTTGGAGTTTATGTTGTGATCTTTGCTCCCAACCCACCTTTGTCACGTGAGGTTTGAATATATGCAACTTTATGTGAGTGTCTTTATTTGTGGAAAAGAGTGTTTGTCTTGCCAGTGGGTCCAACATTACACACACCAAATCCATCTGTGCTTATATGAGAGAGTGTGGAGGATGCCCAGTGCAGCGCTTACAGTGACACTTGTTGAGGAGCTGCCTTCTGTCGCCATCGTGTGGCATTACTGTCTTCAGACATCTCTTGATCTCTTTGACTACTTCACGAAAATTGGAATACGCCTTGCAGGTGGCGGATTTAAAGGCAAGGAGAGGAGCTTATGTGATTGGTGAAAACAGGTCTCGGCTGTGTTAAACCCACTCCACGCCCTCTCTCCTCCCTCTCTACGATTTACGCCGCTGGGAGGAGCTGAGTTAGGGAGGGGAGATACTTACGCCGGCCTGCGCCGCTCACCAAAATACCAAATTGAGCTTGGGAACGCCTTGTCGGCGTGGCGGACCTGACTTACGCCGCGCTTGCGGCATGTCTCCGGCGAAGCATGAAAATAGAGCCAATAGTCTTTGCCATCCTCAGAGGATGGCCACTTTGCTATTTCCCATCTTCTGCTCATGAGATAGTCTATCTGTTATCAAACATGATACTGCAATGATTAAACTCTCAGAAAGCTTGTCTGCCGCTCCATATTGTTAATGAGTATCAAAAGAAATCTCTCGCACTACCAAGCAGTTCTACAAATACTGGGTGCAAACTTGCTGAGCTGTACTGGCTCATCTGCACAAACAATGTTTTTTTCAGCTGCTGGACTTTAAATTGTCAGACAAAGGTTTTTTTTCTTTCACAAGAGCATGCTGACATGTTGATTCTGTTCAGCAAATCAAGTAAATGCGATATGAGTGTGTCAGCAACATGCCAGCTTTTAACAGATTGATGACAGCACACTGATGTTTAACAGCCTATAAACATTCATCTTGGCCAAACTCTTCTGGCATGTTTGATGTTTTGATGCGTTTTTAGTTTGCATTGCCTCTGAAGCTGCAGCCTGTCTCTTCTTTCAGTCTTTGGTTGCATTTTTGTTCTTGTCGGCCGTCGTGGTTTATCTGCATATCAAATCAAAACTGTCTACATAATGAGTCACTGGCAGAACAAAGCTACAAAAAAATGCATTTGCATCAACTATTTAAAATGACCATCACATATCCAGTGAGATCTATCCTAGTGCTCTGCTTTTCTTTTGTAGATTCTCTTTTACCCTGAGTCACTGCAGGTGGCACCTGCCTGATACTGCTGCAGGTTAAAAAGCAGATGAGCTCTGTGCGTGTGTGTGTGTGTGTGTGTGTGTGTGTGTGCGTGCGTCGTGCGCGTGCGTGCGTGCGTGCGTGTGTGTGTGCAGAATGCTGCAGATGAAGATGACAGACAGAAAAAAACACATCAGGGTCTTTTCATGGTTCTGTCCTCTCCTTTGCACCTTTTCCTTCATTCCTTCTTCATTTATATTTTACTGTGTAAGCCCAGAAACTCAATTAATCCAAAATTCTCTAATTTGCGTGTGTGTATGTGTGTGTGTGTGTGTACGTGTGTGCGCATACCAGCAAACATCCCCTGCTGTGTCTCTGTACACGTGTGTGTTTGTGTCGTTGCATTTGCACATGTCCACTTCTTACGTGAGGGAAGCCAGCCAGGGAGGGTGTGTGTGTGTGTGTGTGTGTCTATGTGAGAGAGAGCACGTGGGTGGGTGTGAGCAGTCTTTGTGGAGATGTAAAAGTGGTTGCATCCTATTGGCTGACAGCAGTGGAGTGGGTGGAGCTTGTTTAGAGGGGCACCATGAGGGCCCATGGAGACGAGGATGAAGTGAGGCAGAGACATGAGGCTGGGGGGTGGAGGGGGGTTACACTATGAGAAAAAGTGAGGAGGACACTGAGGAGGATGGAGAGGAAGGAAAGGAACACAGCAGAGATGTGGAGACAGATCTGCTCTAGCAAAAGATTGTTATGTAAGAAAAGGTAACAAAAACACAGATATTTATGAAATCTAAAATTATTAAACAAAATGAAAAAATATGAAAAAGAGAAAAAAAGATTCAACATTAGTCAGAAAAACAGTGACATAATCTTTAACTTAATGAGGTCTCATGTCATTTCTATTTACAGATTAAACATCAATATAGATAATATATGTAAACACAGGACTGGACCAGGGGCACCCTTCGAGCAGCTCTGCATGATTTTCAGCTCAAACTTCTTTATTGAGCTTCTTCATGGTGTCTGTGAAAACCCTCATTTCAGCACTTTTTCACCTGCTGCCTAAAAAGCTTTATTTTTGCTGCTTTCCCACTCATATAGACTTCGACACTGCTTTGGGGGCGCTACTTTTTGCACAGCTTGGTAGTCATGAAAGACAAAGGAGCCATGCCTGTACAGACTTTTTAGTAAGGAAAACTTCAGAAGCATTTCAGGTGAGGGACAAATTGATGGGCGAGTCCAACAGACAGGATCTACTGAAACACCCAGACAGCCAAACACCAAAACTGTCCAGGCTGCTCTTCAAATTGGTTTTATTTAATTTTGTTGCTTCCTGCAGCATTTTGGTCAGCATGAGTAGTTTTTAGATGCGTTTTTTGGAAAGATTTGACTTAATCTTTCCCAAAGATATAACTCTAGAAAGCTAATGAGGTCTTATAAATCATTCCCTCTGTCTTGTCTTTTCAGTGAAGATTCTATATTCCTATAGACAGCTGCAGAATCACATCTGCTGGCTGTTTTAGCAGCTTTATGACTGCATGGTAAATATGCCATCCTTAAAATTCACAGACTGTAAATCCAAATACTGAACATAATTACTGGGGTATCTGGACACAGTCAGGGTTGTGTGCTGGTGTTTTACAGTGAAGGTACAGTAACAGTAACAGATGGAGCGAGGGATGGAGGGAGGAGCCTGTGGAAGAAAAGAAGGGCAAAGGCAGGATGAAAGGCAACAAGGAAGGAAGGAAAAGAGGAGGGGAGGGAATACCAGTGTGTGTGTGTGTGTGTGTGTAAGAGAGAGAGAGAGGGTGAGTGAGCGAGCAGAGGGGAGGGAGGCAGCGGTGGCAGCGCTGCATCATCAGTCCTGCCACAGCAGCAGAGAGAGGAGGGGAGAGCTGCTGCCTCAATGATATCCCCTTCTCTAACACACACATTCATGCAAACATGGTCCCCACAGCACACACACACTCACAAACATTCACACACATAGACTCTGGAAGTCAGCTGTTCACCTCTGGAAGCTTCACTGGGAGGAGATCAACAGCAGTGAAGCTCTGTCTTGGATGCTGTGTGAGTCTGGTGGTGTGAAGTGTGTGTGCACGAGGTCTTGACATTGTGTGTTTGGACTCTCAGGTGGCTGTCACTGTCAGTAGCGTGAAGGAGTGTCAACGCCGGGGCTGCTGGGAATTTCAGCGTTTTTTTCCTCTTTTTCCTCTACTAGCTGTCTGGAGTACGAGTGGATGTTTCTGAGGCTGCAAGCCGGAGCAGAGTGCTTATTTCAGTATTTACAGCCAAGGAGGAGGGGGTGAGGAACAGCTGTGAGGAGGGGGGCGTCTTGCACTGCAGCATCAGACCAGCAGCTTTTGTTGTTCAACCTTTTTTTGCACATATTCCTTACCCAGTGGCAGCAGCAGCAGCAGCAGTGGCAGCAGCATTTCCATCAGATCAGGCTGTTTTCAGCAATGGATTACTGCGCCTCCCGCCTGCTGAGGGGAAAAGATGCTGATCTAAGAGGAAGTGGAGGCTTTGCTGCTGGAGCTGCAGACACGGCGAGGAACTTTGGGATTACACAAGGTACTCAGATGATGGCCAGGCTGAGCTAAACCCTGCCCCCCTCCTTCTCCCCTCCCCTTTCCCCTCCAGTCCAAACATGAACTCTTCCTCTGATGCGAACCAAAGTGGTTCTCCCCCATTTTGCCTGCTCAGCACCATCAGTTCATCCTACAGCCTGAACACCTGCATGCTGGAGGTGGTCGTCATCCTCTTCCTTACTGTACTCATCATCACAGGGAACCTGGTGGTGATCTTTGTCTTCCACTGCGCCCCACTGCTGCATCACCACACCACCAGCCACTTCATCCAGACCATGGCGTATGCTGACCTGCTGGTGGGCGTGAGCTGTTTGGTCCCCTCGCTGTCCCTTCTCCACTACCTTAACAGACTGAATGAGGAGCTCACCTGTAAGGTGTTTGGCTACAGTGTGTCTGTGCTGAAGAGCGTCTCCATGGCGTCACTGGCATGCATCAGTGTTGACCGTTACATCGCCATCACCCGCCCTCTCTCCTACGCCACGCTGGTGACGCCGTGCCGGCTCAGAATTTGCATCATCCTGATCTGGGTTTACTCTGCTCTCATTTTCTTGCCATCCTTCTTCGGGTGGGGGAAGCCTGGTTACCATGGAGACATTTTTCAGTGGTGTGCCGATTCCTGGAAGACCAACCCGGGGTTCAGCACCTTCATCGTGGGGTTGCTCTACGCTCCAGCTGCGCTCACCGTCTGCTTCACCTATGCCAGCATCTTCAGGATCTGTCGGCAGCACACGAGGGAGATCACCCAACGCCATGCTCGCTTCAGCTCCCAGCTGGAGAGTGAGAAAGGTGAGCAAGGGGAGCGCTGTGAGGGACACCCAGACAAACGCTATGCCATGGTGCTGTTTCGCATCACCAGTGTCTTCTACGTGCTGTGGATGCCGTACATCTTCTACTTCCTACTGGAAAGTGCCGGGCTTTACCAACACAAGGTGGCATCCTTTCTCACGACATGGCTGGCGATTAGCAACAGCTTCTGTAACTGTGTCATCTACAGCCTTTCTAACAGCGTCTTCCAGAGAGGGCTGAGCCGCCTCTTTAGTTCGCTGTTTGCTTCCTGCCTCGGCTGCACGGTCGCCAAAAAGGCCCCGACCCCTGTCAGCCCCCGTCCAGACCCTCGCTGCCAAGTCTGAGCCCTGACCATGATGGATCTGGTCTGATTTCTGTGGAGGTGTCGGGCTACAACAGCATGACACAGGTCTTTTTGGTCCTGCAGTGAAACATGCTGAGGACCCCCACCCGGTGCACAGAGAGGTGCCCATGCAGATGCTCGTGGTCACCTGAGATGATGATTTGTGGAGAGAGGAGGCCTTGCAGAGCTCTACAAGGATCTTAAGCTGGAGAAGTGGAACTAAGACCACTGAGACCACTGAGATGCAGATCATATTTAAGTCTCTAAAATCTGCAAAATGTTTGTTTTTTCAGGGTAGAACAAAGTGATGCAAAAAATGTGGAAACTGACTATCAATCTGTTTCCTAAGGGAACACCCCGATGCTAATGGGAGTTAGAAAACAGGAAAATCAGCCTGTCTGTGTGAGTGAGAGTTCAAAATGAACTCTGACCTGTTTCCCAGGGAGCTGAGGTTTATTCAGGAGCTCCTGTATGTTTTATCTCTCTTCTGAAGTCTGCTAGGGTTTAAAGCTTCCTGTATGTTTACACAGTCTGTGGTTTCACATGAAAATGTTAGTTTAAGAATTAGCTTTACACTGAAAGATGGCAACTGACCCGGGCAGATTTGACCTGGTGGATGATGAAAAGTGTTAATGTGGAGAGTTGAATATTCCATTTGAGTTCCCTCCTCAGGTTTACCAGCCACTATTCGTTCAGCCTTTAATCTGGGCTCAAAGTTCACAACTTCTGAAACACAAGCCACGTTTAGCGTTGTAAGATAATCACCTCCTGACCCTGTGGAGTGCCTGCCGTCTGTGCTGTTATGAGCACTGACTGACTTCATTGTGGTCAGGAACGTTAGAGCTGGTGTCTCTTTTCAGCCTCTAGCAGCTGATGGATGGTCAGATCATTGCAAAGTGTTTTTTGAGCATCACACGGCCGGCCTAAGAGAGAGCGAGGGTCAGAGCACTTATGAAGAGCCTGTGCTTCTTCATGTAAATACACTTGAAGATCTAAATCGATCACACGGTGGCGAAAAACAGACCTGTTTGAAGGTCCCCAAATCCTGTGTGGATTATGTTTGTAGGATAACTCAGCCAAGTGGTCAGACATGCTGCACTAAAAACTAAACCTGACCGTTTTCCACCCTGTAAAGTAAAAAAGTGTTTTTCATTGTGCTGCAGAAAACTGTGGATCACTTCAGGTGGAGTTTGGTTTTAAAGTCACAATAAAATGACAGTTTGAGGGGCGTCTTGCTCTAGATTTGCCACTTTTATGACTGAAAAAGGAAATATGAGGGAGGATTGTTCGGTCAAACTTTACTGAACCTTTTTACTTCAGAATATAGATGCCGTAGAAACGAAAAACCAATGTTTTATGTGCTTTCTTAGGGTTATTTTTTCTAATGGTGTGGGCCTCTTAGTGATGCAGTGAGAGGAAGCTTATATGCAACAACTCATTTGCAGTCTAAATAATGAAGTACGACTGAAATTCTTACCTGTCTGCATGACAATTTTGCAGAAATATTTAAAAACAACTGTCCTTAGGTTGCAGCACACTCATATTTTTCTCATCATTGCAACAAGACGAAACTTGAATGCAACTTCTCATTTGCTGTTTGAATCACTTGATTCAATATCAAAGGCTCACAACATCTTAATATGATAACAAGTCTTTGATGCTCAGATTAGGAAGTCAAACAGCTCCTAATTCCAGAAAAATCTAATTTTATATTGCTGGTAAATCAAATTTCTTCCCTAGTAAACTGTTTAAACCTAAACTGTCTTTTTCCTGACCTAACATCTGGAGAAATCATGATGGCATTTTACTATTCTGCCCGGAAGATATTTCACTGACCAGACCTTGAACGCATCATAATCTAGCCTTATGCCACCTCATTAGCTAACCAGCCTTTTAGATTAGATTAGATCAGAAAATGTACTGCTTGGATACAAGTATTGATGAGCTTCAATTCTGCTGGCCAGATTTAAAGTTGCAGGAGCATCTACAGTTTCTACATCATCTCTAGTCTCCCTCTCTTTAACCCCAGAGTACTAAATCTGGGGCAGTGAGCAGGGTGGCATGAGATGATGGTCTTTGTCGGGCCTATGTCGCCTTGATCTAGTCCACTGCAGCTAAAACAAGCTACACTGCTTTGCCTGAAGACCTATCCTTTTGTACTTTGATAGGTCCAGGATGGTATCACTTTTGGTCCTGTTGTATTGCAACAGCAGGGATACTGTTACACCCTTACCCTATAGCACAGAAATTCAACATTTTTTGCAGCAATTAAACACAGAAGAATAAAAAATGGAGTAAACCTGCAGCCTTATATTATAATTTCAGGTAAAATACACATTTACCTCTTGTTTTTTTTAAAGGTGTATTTCTGCAAAGCTCAGAGAAAAGGGACAGAGGTCAACATGTATAGTCTTGCAGAAGGCTTGCTTATGTTTACAGGACAGAGGACAGACCATAAAACAAGGAGAGAGAGAAAAGGGGCTTCAGACCGAAGCAGGTTCAGCACCTCCATATACATCAGAACATACCATCACTGTGATCTGTCTGTGTTTGTACACTTCTGACTCATTGTAATCCTGTATTGGTCTCTGGTCTTACACCTCACCCCTGGCCCAGGATAACGAAAGTATCTAGATGACGTGATTCTGCAATAACTGATCATCAGACCTTTAAAGTTACAGTGACCCCGCTGAGGAGGGTTTGTTTGCTGTTTCCTTCAGGGCTGATCAAATATGCACACATTATTAAGGCTCCTTTGAGGAGTTTTTAACCTGTATTAAATACACTGAAATTCATTTGAGTGCTTTTTCATAATATCCAAAAACTAAAAACATAACTGGGGACAAGATTTGCACATTTTAATAGCTGGAGTAACGGTATAGGTGTCAGCAGAGCTGATGAAACATCTGCTTGTTTTTGCAGTTTCCATATAAAATACTGAGTGAGCAGACACTATTTAAAGAATGTAGAAGACAAGATAAGCAAAGACTGCTTTGTTCACAGGAGGCATAAAATTGATTTAACCAAAATTTCCTCACAGGAGCTTTAACTACACATGAATCCAAACACATGAGACCCCAACTCAATTTTTCCCTCTCTCTAATGGTAATTGAAGAAAATTTGCATCATCTCACCTCTTTTTCTTCATCTTCTTTTTGTTCTGTTAGTTTTGTTTCAATTGTTTCATCCTTAGGTTCAGGTCTAATTATTAGCCCTCCAAAGCTTTCCTGTCCTCCTCATGAAGGTGGCCCTGCTTTGTTTAAAATCCAAATATGAATTTCTGTGTTTTAAAGGGTCCTGTTGGACTTCATTGTGACTTAAGAAGCTGTTTGTTTCATGAAATGGTGCATTTAGGGGTAAAATTCTGAGCTGTTTCAGAGTCAGTGGACCCACCCTCCTCCTCAGAGGGTATTGAAGGTATTAAATTGATCCCACCGCCCCTCTTTGTTTTATTTATTCATAATTTCTCCACCACTACACCACCAGTGTGTGTTTTTGTACAGTATCCACGGTAAAAGTGTTTGACTCCTGCCTGATTCATTGTGAAAGTTGTTTCACTGTTGAACTTTAAACTGCATGATCCTGGACCAGTGTTCTTGTCTCATGATGCTTCTGAGACTGACTGTACTCTTTGTCTTTGTATCCAAACTTCTGTTGTGTAACCTGGACGGCTTACTGTGTTTACCATGAGGGCCCAGGGCTCCTGTTTGCAGGCAGAGAAAAAAACAAACAAGAAAAACAAGTCTGACCTGCAGGAAGCCTGTGATCTTCTGCTGCTGCTGTCAGGGCGGAATGATGCAGGAAGTTTCAAACAGACAAAAGTATTTCTATTTAAAGCTGTACAGTGAGAGTCTGATGAATACAGTGTTAAAGGTTGAACTCCCCGCACAAGTCCTACCGTAAACGCTGTCAATGTTTGAGTTTTTCTGTCATTGTCTCCTGACAGCAGCTGGATGCTGCTCATCTGTGGGAGTCAGTGCAATAAAACTTTCTCTTCATACAAAACAGATCATCAACAGCAGAAGAAAACCTGAGTGAAAGGGCTTTAACTATCTTTACTCTGATAGAGCATGTGATCTGGACAGATGCTGTTATGAGTGTGCTGCAGATTCTTGTAAATATGGAGGTTTAACTGTGTGATTAAACTGAGATGTTGCATTTATTGTCTCTGATTCCTTTTGTGCAGAAAAACCTCATCATGCATTTTTTAAGACTTTTCATTTGTGCAGTGTGAATGACATCTTTAAAAACATTAAAATTAATAGAAATTACTTTATATTTCTATCTTTTGGATGAAGCTGTTGAGGCTCTTATAGTGGCCTCTTTGTATGCAGAGCAGACTGGAGCACGTTTGCATGAGCTGTGCTGCAAAATCAGACCCTCTAACTCTGTTTAAACTGTTTATCGTTGTGGTTTCACAGAGTTGACAAGCTTGAAGATTAAATTAAATATAGTTCAGTCATTAAATAAATATCAATGTTTGTACTTTACTCCTATAATAAACAACTAAAATAAAGAAACTGTGGCCTTCCAACGTCCCCCCTGATGGATCAGCAAAAATCAGATCCTGGAAATCAGAGATGAGATGGGGTTTGATTTTAGGATAATTAGCAGTTTTACAGCCTAACAGCAAAGATCAGAACATTTAAACTACATATTTGTCAAAAATCTAAAGTCACAGCTCTGTACCAGGTTTACACTAAGTTTTATCAGATCACAGACTCATCCAGAGACTTTACTTTACTGAGAGTTGTCCACACGTCTCCTCCAAGTCTCTCGGCCAAGTCTTTATTTTTGCTCACATGACCTCTCTGTCACTGACTGTCCCTGCTGCGCTCACATGATGTGTTGTGTTCAATGCTTTGATTAGACTCACATTAAAGTTATCAATCAAAGGAACAAGAACATCCTGTGCTTCACCCAAGTGTCCTGATCAGAACTGTTGGGAAAAAAAATCTGCTCTGACACAGCCGAGAGATTCTGATGGTTTTGACTAAATAATAAAAGGACTGATGTAGCCGTCTCTGCAGACAGACAGCTGAAAGTTGGTGTTGGGAACTTGTCATGTCGGCAAAATATTTCTGTTTGTTCATGTTGGTTAAGTTTCCTTAATCATGCACATTCATGTTTCATTCCATTTCATGTCCTTCCTGTTTTATTTTGTAGATCACTAACCCTTGTTTCTGTTTTCTAGGTTTGTTCCTGTCTAGTCTGCCCTGCCCCTCTCTTGTCACATCTGCATCCTGATCATCTCTCTCCACCTTTTTCCCATCACCCTCATTACCTCTTGGTTCTATTTCATCCTTACTGACCACCAGAGGCGGTGCTTTAAGCACTGAATGAATCCATCTTGCGCATGTGCAGGCCGAGTGTTTATACCAGCAAAGTCATGTGTGACCCCTGATGACCCAGTCAGTCTATATCTTCTGGTGACATCAGAGGATCTGTTCCTTTTCATCTTCTCACTTCGCAGGTAAACTGCACATCATATCACTAACTCAAACTAAGGGACTATTATTTTCCCTCGTTGCTGGTAGCCGTGTGATGTCTTGTCGGAGCTGCGAGCTGCGAGCCCACCAAAGGCTGCAATGGACTCCACTGAGAGGTTTGTGGTTCGCCGCAGTCATCATTAGGGTTGGGTATCGTTTTATTTTGAACGATTCCGATTTCGATTCCGATTCCTATCAATTCTCTATTTCGATTCTTTTAAAAGGCAGGATATCAAATAAAAAAAAAAAAAAAGCAAAGGTTGGATGAGGGCGCTAACAGGTAGCCTGGCTGGGCCATCCTGTTGCGTGAATCACTTGATGTTCCTTCCCACCACAGTCTGGACTTCGGCCCATAGAGAGCGTATGGCCCAGGATGGCCCAGCCAGGCTAGCTAACTTTCTTTTGGATGAAATTTCTGAACTTCTCCATGAATTTTTAAATCATATTAACTTTTTAAGAACTTTACTATGAATTTCTCACAGGGCTATTTTCAAGCAGTATATAAATATCAATTTTTGTTGTCAGGTCGTTTGTATATGAAAAAGTACAAGGGCTAACGTTAGTTGGATATTTAAGTTGACCCACCGTACACAGTACAATTTGTTTACCGCTTCAAAGTTAGCAGAGGACAGAAGTAATTTATTGTTTTACTTATTTGATCCTGACTGGTTAGCGGAAGACAGGTGTTGTGCTGTATAATGCACCCCTGCCGTAGAATGCCTCCCCTCCACTCATTAGCTTCTTAAAGTGGAAGACAGTGATCTCATATTTAAAAAAACACAAGTATTAGATCATGACAACATGTCAAATGGAGCAGTAAACTTTCGTTTTGTTTTTATGTGTCTCAAAAGTGCACACATAGAGGTGTATTTGGGTATATAAACTGTCCAGTAAGCTGTTAAGGTAGAGAACATAATATTTTCGGGACAGTAAATATTCAGAATCAGAGGGCTATTGTTTTCGACATATATGAATAGCCTGAATGAAATCATTAAAGGCACACACTTTAGATTCCAATCAACGGTAAGGAAAACTTGGATTGTTTCGCCTTGTTGTGTACTTCCAACCGCGCTCCCGTCAGGGGTGCATTCTATGGCACAACACTGGCGAAGCGCGTCAAAGACGAGCACTAGGGTATTTCTCCTCCATGAATCCTGAGGTGTTTAATCATGTTGGTCGTTTACCCTCCATAACATGATATAACTGTATTGCTAATGTTGCATTGAGATAAGAGTTCATTCTTCCTGCTAAAGTTAGCCAAACTTTTGACCAACGAAGAAGAAGCTGCCGAACACCAACGCGGACGGAGCGTATGAGACGAAGCCACACACAGAGAGAGGAGAGAGACAGAGAGAGAGAGTGCATTGTAACCCACAGCAGCTGCATTGCTGTGGGTTACAATGCAAAGTTACAATGCACTTTCTCTCTCTCTGTCTCTCTTCACTTTCTGTGGGCTTCATCTCATACGCTCCGTCCTCGTTGGTGTTAAGCGGCTTCTTCTACGTTGATTTTCGGCGGCTATTTCCTCGGGTCGGCGGACTCCGGCATCGAAACTTGGAATCGAAATTTTAATAATTGAACGATACCGAAAGAATCAAAATGTTAGTCCCGGTCCCCATCGATACTCGATTCTCGATACCCAACCCTACTCATCATCCTCGGTGGGATAGGTTTACTTTTCTTATTACAAATAAGAATATTCCTTGGTGCAACCAGTTGTACTCATTTCCGGTTTAACCTTGTTATGTTTTCAATTGTTGGTAAAGACGGTGACCTCGCTTCCTCTCCCAGCATTTGTACCGCTAATGTTTTTTTGGTTAGCTAGCATTGCGGGTGCTTGCAGCTGTTATCGGTACAACCTGTTGTACTCGCTTTAAGTTGTACTTTCATTTGGTGGTGACTGTAGCGTTTCCACTCCCTCTCCTCTCCTGTCTTAACTCATTCATACACATTAGTGGTTAGCCTTTGGGTTGTACTTTGTTGGTGACGGCAGTGTGTGTGCTCCCGTTCCCAACTTAGGTTTGGTTACTTTTCTTTTTGTTGTCTGATTATTACAGGCGTTTGCACTCAGCCTGCTTAGTTTGCATACTGTGGCGCCAACTTGGTTGTGCCCATTTTGTGTTGTGTGGCAAATACACTTGACTGGCCAAGGCAGTGGTCTCGCTCCCGCTTACAGCAAAGAGGTGATTTATTTGGTTAAGGCTATGTCTTTGCTTCCTCTCCCAATGTCTGTTGTTCTCCTGATGTAATTTACTGTATGTCAATATGTTTTGCAACCATTCTTGCTTGGCCTGTGTGGTTTCTCTGCAGCCTGAAGACAGCCATTATTTGTGTCTTTCATGCCTTGGCCTTGAGCATCTGAAGGGGGCTCTCTCAGACAATGCCTGAACTGTAGCTTCATGCCCTGGGCAGTAAGAGGTTGACAGAAAGAGACGAGTGCTGCTCTGGGTTAAAAAAAGGGAAAATACTGTGAAGCACTTTGGGACTCCTCAAGAAAAAGGGATGGAAGGTCAAATATTAGACCTTATAAAATGACTGTCGAGGTTACTGTCAACCAGAGGCTCTCTGATATAGTCTTCATCAGGACACCCCGATCCCACGTCTCATAAAGGCTGAGTTATTACTGCCAAATGGGAACAGTGGAAATGATCCTCCGTGTTCAACACAGCAGCAGAGATAATGCTGAAAGCCGTCCTATAGAGTTTCCTCCGCAGTAAATACTGCTGCTATTTTATGGCTGTTAAACCCACATTCCTCCTGCCAAGCTTTACAAATGAGATTGTTGTGTGTCTTTGGCAGCAGCAGAGCACAGCTGTCACATAAACAAAGCAGTTTTCTCTCTGGATTGATCAGGGTAAATGTTGAAATAACGCAAGTTCGTTCAGTGCTGCAATGACCACATCAACCCAAGAATTGTTTCTGACCTGAGTGGGGAGTTTATCTAAAGATGTGATGACTGTAAGGACCTTCAAATCTGCGCTTGGTCACTGAAACCTGACAACTAAACATCGTAAGTTTAAGAAATCTTTTAAATAAAGGGTTGTAAAGACTTAACACAATTCTGCTTTGCCCCAGGATACTGATATCAATGCAATCATCTTTGACACTTCAAAGCAGGGTTGGACTGGCCATCGAGAGTACCGGGAGTTTCCCTGGTGGGTCTATCAGTAAACAGGCCAGTGGATGGCTGTTTGTTTATCTATTTATTTATTTGTTTATTCATTCATTCATTTATTTCTTTGCCTTGTAGGCTGTATTGGGACAGAGGAAAAAGTGCTTAGAAAGTGAATCTCGTTCCACTTCAGTGGGGCAACATAAACTGTGATTCATAAAATAGATCTATTGATAGTAATTACTAAATAAAAATATCTACTCATGCCATCCTGTCGATTTTTAGTAATCAGTGTTTCGGTGTTGAACTATTTCCTTTCTGTGGCGTAGTGATACTTGCACATGCGCAATCAAATATGCAGGGGGTGAAGCGATTTTTGTCACGTGGACCAATAGGAGCCGAGTCTTGTTGCCGCAGTATCAGAAATACACAAACATGGCGATGAGCGCATATAGCAGCGAGACAAGCGAAGAGGAAGAAAAGAAAAGGAAAAAAAAAAAGAAAACAGCTTTCAAAAGTGCATAAAAAAGGAACGA